CCGTGTGTTGTGAATTCCAAGCACAGTTACCATGCATTACATACACATTCACCAACATGCCCCGTCTTCAGTTCGACATCGCGCGGTATCTCAGGTCTTTGATGTTTGCCGAGGAGGAGAGGAGTTCGCGATCGCGGCGGCAGAGATGCTGTCGAAGAAGTGATTTAACTTTCAGGATCGCTTTTCAGGGCGTAAAGACTTGCTTACGAGTTTGCTCGTAATCTCATATACTCCATCAAGTATTCTTGCTGTTTGGCGCATATTGCTTTAAGGAAATGTCCGGCGCGGGCCGAGTAGCATCCAGCCACTATACGGCTGTTTTTGATCATGGCAAGTGGCCTGCTTTCCGTCCGCAAAGCAGTGCGGGCAGGCACTTGCATTGAGCTTGTACAGCGCGCAGGGAAGTATGATGGTGGCCTCATGTGATCCGCCCTTTAGAATCTCTCTAGCCGTAGCCTTTGTTCACAGCTAGTTTCTTCTGAACTTGGGCACCAGAGCCCGCTCAGGTGTTACAAACTTTGTCGGAATGCCACATGCGAACCACGTGCCAAGGTTTGATTTCACTAGACGTTGGGCGCCTGCTCACCCGATGCAATTGTAGATCCATCCAGAACCAAGCATTCATCCGCATGAAACCTTTGTAAAGTTGAATCAGAAAGTTGCTTTAACGAGGGTTGTTGTGATTGTGTCGTCGGCGTGGCATTTCTAAGTTCGATTGTTTGTTGTAGTGGCGGTGGTGGTGGTGGTGGTGGTGTCTAAACCCTAAACCCTAAATCATAGCTGCTCGATACAAGTTGAATAGAGTTGCTCAATGTTGCTCATAAGCTGTGTTAGTTAGTAATGAGAAAGGTGGGGGGCACATTACACTGTGATTGTAGTAGCGAATTGCTAGTATTTCTAGTCATTCTGCAGCGAGGCTGATTCAGACGGCATGGTGGCGATGTGTTTGTATAGTACGCTGATGCACCGCAGGATTTGGTTTGAAGGCTCAGCCAGGGTTTAGAATCTTGAGATTCCAAGACAGCTTCTCATACCTCTTTTCGGTGATTGCCCAGGCATGCTCAGAAAATCTTCGCTGAATGTAGACCCCTTGATTCCAAATCTCAAAGCCTGACCTAGTTGACGTCGCTTCAAGTCAGCCTTCCCTGGTGCCGGTGGCCTTGTGGAAGGCGATTTTTCGTGATGCCATCTGGCACTTTCAGGCGCATTGTGCCGTTCCAAAGGAACTATTAGCGCAATGCGCTGTGATGTCAAACCGCTTATGCGACTCGTGCGAGCAAGAAGACATTTCCTGGCTGGGTTTGCATGACTACATGTTACCTCGTGACAAGGAAACTAACTAGAGCCGACTCGGCTGTTCTTTTCTTGTTAGGAAGAGTAAAGTAGAGGGAGTGGTAGGAGCAGTGGTAGCGGTGTTTAATATTCATGACAGCAGTTGCTGCAGCTGTTATCCTTGCCGCTGTTAATTATATTACTGTTAGTATTCTTCCTGTTCTTACAACTACTATCATAAATGCCTAGAAGGTGGGAAATGGAACGGTTGGTTTGGAACTGGATCTCCCAACTTTGCGCTTTTGCTACAGAAAGCTTCCCTGCACTCGTGGCAAGATCGCAAACCCTCTTCTTATAACGAACTTTCAACTTTGACTGTTGATAGGCCTTCTGTCATCGCAAACACCCGCCCCGCACGGATGGCCGACGAGCCATCATGCGTGGTTTGCCATTAAATTGGTTTGGGATTCGACTTTGCGAGATATACTGAAGACCTCCAAACATGGTGAATACACTATGGGTGGGGCTCGGGGGCTCGGGAGTTCTAATGGGCTCCAAAGTTCGGAATAGTTGTTGTTCGTTTGCGCGAGGGCGATGCAACGGAAGACGCGGCTTCCGCTGTGGAGCGGCGCAGAGCTTGCGCTCAGGTCCAGTTCTTTTTGCGTGCATCCGCTAGACACCGTGGCTCGAAAAGACGAATTTACTCCAGCCAATGATCAGCCCACTGAGTGGCGCTTGGGCAGTACGCCTAATTAATTTTGGCAGACGCCGTTGAAGCCATTGACGCCGGACACGCTGGATTCTGGTAACGCCGTTGAAGCCGCCGACGTTGTGGGGGATGAGGCCGCCGATCCCGTTCACGTTGTCACGTTTCCGTGCGCCCCAGACTCACGTCGTAAAGCTGTTGCGTTGTTTTTGTTTCCCTTTGCTTGAAACGCACGTCTTAACGTTTGTCTGCGCTGGGATCTGCAAACTCGCTGGCCAAACCACGTCGCGCTGCAAGCAATCAGCTTCAATAGCGGCTTACTAAACTATCGATAATGATTGGGTTCCACATTTCCGTAGCTCGAAAGCGCCATGTTCGTCGGCTTATGAAGAAACAGTCTGGTATGTTCGTGCACATGCTGCGTTCGTACATGCCTAACCAACAGCAGCAGATGCTCCCTGACTTAATTTATCTTATCGGTTGCCAAAATGCAGCAGCGTTGTGCACCTGCTCCCTTCCTCGGCGAATGTCAAGCAACATCGGATGCTCCCGGTGTGAACAAAGCGTTGATTGGAACCACTCCAATGAGGGAGATTTCCCGTTTCACCAGGGTCATGACATTCGCCCCCTCAAAACTGCAAGGTCAATGTGCCGCTGATTCCCACTCCGCCGACCTCTCGAACTGTGTCATGTTCTTCGTCGCCGCCGTGCTGTACCGTGTGACCAGCTTATGTTTCCTTTCCAAGGTAAAAACAAACCGGAGGGTACTCGCATTTTTGCAGGGCATCCGCAAAAGAAGCCAGTGAAACTTCTTAATCAAGCATCTGCTCCACCCAGCTGTTGGTGGGCTGGCATCGACGTGGCGCGGCGTCGCAAGCAACGGCGCTTAGGCTAGGAACAGGCCCGGCCAGGCCCGCAACGCCTCGTGGTGCTGGCGGCCCTGGCGGCAGGGCTCGGCGGACGATGGGGGCAAGAGGCAACCTGGTTCGACGCTCGCACGCCAGCGTTCCCTGCACGTGCCACGGGCGCTGCGTGCTGCTGCCCCTTAGGGCTCATGGGATCGCAGGTGGCGAGGCGATATAAGGATGCGAGTTGCAGCGCGCCTTGGCTTCCACGCTCTTCGGCGGCGTCTGGCGAGCACCGCGCACCCCACCCGTTCGAGTCGTAGCGCTCGCCGAGGCTGAACGGCCTCCCGGTTGCCCCGACATGCTGATATACATATGGCATACGAAGCGCGTGACTACAGCGGTTGGATAATGGTGTGTGGGCCGAAAAGCCTTCCCAACGGCTCCCCATCAGCTCCAAGAGCACCGGAAAAGGCACGGAGAAACTCCGGCACCTCGAGATCGGACATTGCCAAGTAAGCTTCGCAAGCTCCCACGCAGACGTTTTGCGGCATCGGCCCTGCTTTGATGAACCGGATACAAAGACAGGATCTCGGATGCACTGGCTTTGAACTTCTTGGCTCTAAAAGAAGCTCTCATGTTCCTGCTCTGAAATAGATCAGCAACATGCTTCGTGTTTCAAAGCCAGTGTGATGCCCCAGCGCTGCATGCATTCATGCACCAGACCAGGTCCAGCACAACGTCACGAATAAGTGTGTTATCCAATGGGTTACATGAACGGATCATAACTGCATTATATTCACTATGTTCGGCAACCATATACTAATGTTTAGCTCGTTGGCCATTTACGTCTGCTTTTTGCCGGCCATATTAAGAGCGTGTAACAGACAGCACCCAGAAGGTATTTATACCTATCCATTACACATATCATTCACTCAGAGTTTCCACAACTCGTAGGCAACCCACGGGCCTGATAAGCACGGGCTTCAAAGTCGCACTTGATGATACAGCGTGAAAAACGACATTCATGATTTTGGGGGACGACGTGTTTCTGGGCACCCCGCCTGTTTTTTGTTTTTTGGTGTTGTGCGTAGCTGACGCTACAAAGCGCTGTAGCCGCACAGCTGCAGTTTGCGCAACACGCAGCTGTGTTGTTCATGTCGCATCCTGTTGCTTGGTTTTCCCGAGCACGGTGCAACCGACGTTCCCACATCCAGTTGTTCATTCTGGTTGCCGCATAGTCCACAAGCAGCGACGTTTTGCATTCGCAAACGTTTTGCCACATCTATTCAAAATGGAATAGCTGCGAAGCCGCAACAATGTCAAAGATACAGACCAGTGGACTTGTGAGGTCTTGTTGCACAACCCTGTTGTGTGTCAGGACTTCGACCAGGCTATGGAGCATGCACATCTTTGTGAAGCAGGCATTCGCACAAGTTTGGGACTTTGGGCCTCTGTGGATGAAAATGGTTCGTCCTTCAGCTGAAGGTTTTCGGAAGTTTGGACTGCTTTACCCTGCTGGTTGTACTGTACTCCCCAGCGCGAAAGCACCCAGCACTAGGCATGCCTGCATCAAGGCAGCATCGGATGTGTATCGCTTCCTGAAGAGATCTGGGCGAAGCGCCTGGCTGTCCACCCGGCCCCAAACGAAATCCACAGCTCCGAACAAACTGCTGAGATTCCTTCCACGACGCAGGCACCTGGAGCAGGGGCTGGGCCCTTTTCTTCGTAAAGCGCGCCACCGAAGGCTGAACAGCATCACGACAGCTGAATTTCAAGCTCGTAGCACAGCATGATCAGACATCAGAGTGTTTCCATCGGACCTAAGCATGCTTCAGTGCCCATGAATGCCAGGCAAGGTTGTTTGGTTTCAGGATCACGTGCTCAGCCGCTCGCAGCCACTGCGGCCGCACAGCAAGGTTCGCTGGGTGCATCCTTTCTCCCTCAGTCCGACAAGCGCGCCTGGGATGTGGAAGTGGGGGTTGAGAGACAAGTCGGTTGCATGACAGGAAATTCAAATCCCAGTCTGAATCTTGAAAGTGCACCGACACTGGCTTTTTCCATCTGTCCCGCATCCTCAAGTTCCTTGTGCCTTTAGTGCCTGCCACTGGACCCTCAAACCTGGACTATCCTGCACACCTCATCGTGGCAGAGCGGCTTCGCAACAGCCCGAGGCCATGGCTGCCTTTGTCGCCGTTCCCAGCTCCGTGACCAGCACTGCCTTGCGGGGCAGCCTGCAGCATGTTCCTCAGGTGGGAGCCAGCAGCAGCAACACTGAACACAAGTACTCGCAAAGATGTAATGGCACTATCGACATCCTGAGGTCATCATCCTCACCTTTACCCTCTTCCTCCTCCTCCTCATCATCATCACCACCATCACCACCATCATCATCACCACCATCACCGCCATCATCATCATCATCATCATCATCATCATCATCACCATCACCATCACCATCACCATCATCACCACCACCATCACCATCACCATCACCACCATCATCATCATCATTGTAGTCGTAGTCGTATCATTATTCGTCGTCGTCGTCGTCGTCGTCGTCGTCGTAGTAATAGTAGTAGCACTAGTAGCAGTAGTATCAGTAGTAGCAGTAGTAGTAGTAGTAGTAGCAGCAGTAGTAGATAGTAGTAGTAGTAGTAGTAGTAGTAGTAGTAGTATCAGTAGTAGCAGTAGTACTAGCAGCAGTAGTAGTAGTAGTAGTAGTAGCAGCAGTAGTAGATAGTAGTAGTAGTAGTANNAGTAGTAGTACTAGTAGTAGTAGTAACAGTAGTCGTCGTCGTAGTAGTGCGAGTTTTACTGGTACTACTAATAACTATTGTTGTCGTGATCCCAGCACCAGTACTAAATCGATCCGAGGCTGGCAATAGTGTTCTTGCTGAAATGCATCCCACAGAGCTTCGTCGTGTGGCTGGGCATCAAATGCTCCTCGTGGACCTCCATCAACGCAGGAACTTCGAAGAGGAGCTACTGTGCGAGCCTAGGGGACCCGACAAAGCCTTCGGTTCTGGAGGGGAACAAGATGATGGAAAGGACCATAGGGAGGGTTCATCTAACCGGTGTTGTTTTTTGAATTAGTTAGACAAACAAACACAGTTTGTGCGCCCCTGTAGATACCATGTAGTTTATGGTTCAGGTGCGCATGTCTGCTCTTCCTAACAGTTGCACAAGGGGGGACTTGGATCTTGGAACAGCCTGGAAGCTCGTCCTTGGAGTTCTACCCCGCCTTTCGACATGTTCTGTGTGGCATGGTTCGACATGCCAGTATGGGTGCCGTTCAGGGCTTAGCTGCACTTGTTGATGCAAGGGCTCGAACTAGAAGGTTAATTAAGTGCGCGTAGAAGCCGCCTAGGTTGTCCGCGTTGGCTGGTGGATGGGTCTTTATGGATCAGCAACTGCCAAGAGGCAGTACGCCTACAGCAACAGTGAGGTGATTCGTTCCCTGGACAAAGGTGCTTTGAAGAAGGATGCCCGGAAATCCCTGAAAACAAATAAGAATCCTGTTGTCAAGCGCAAACGTGATGCTGCCGGCAACGAAACATGGACCGGCACCAAAGCCCTGAAAGCAACGGAGCTTCTTGTCTCATATATGAAGCTGAGCGCACCACTTCTCCATCTCCCTAATTCCATTTAAACCTGTCTCTATAGTAACCATATATAGGCAGAGCCCGGACCTCAAACTAACCCAACAATAGCGTGCTCAGGAACTATCCAGTGAAGTTCGCTCGTGCCGTGGCTGGAATATTCAATGACTTGAAAGTCAGTGGCAGGGGCTGCCCTACGTTGCCTGAGCCTGTGCCTTCGGCCTTGGAAATGTTTGCCAGGGAGCCAGATCGTGTTGAGGTCAATGAGGTTTTGCAGCATGTCGGCCTGGTTTCCGTGTACAATTATCTTAGAGGAGGCAAGAGCCTTCGATTGCCGGTGGAGTGGAGACCCTATATGCCTGCTCCACTTCAGAAGCAGCAGAGGTAGCTGTTTTCACAACACGGCTCAGAGCTCGTCCAGGCTGGAAGGTATTTGTCTAGACGGCCCACACAACTTATACGCAAAATACTAGCCTCCGTATGCTTTTAACACATATTATGTAGAGTTTTATATATTTTATAACACTAGGATGTAGGTTTTTATGATAAAAACCCATAATTACCCGTAGAGACCCCGTATTCAACCCATAAGACCCCGTATTCCTTTACGTGAAAACCCGGTTCTTATGCAAAACCTATTTTTTGAAAACCCATAATTAACCCATCGGAAACCCATAAAAAAGCGTACAAAACCCATAAAAAAGCGTAGTGCCAAAGTAGGTTTTTATAGATAGCTTAAGTTAAAGGATTAACATACTCCCGGTCGACTCTATAGCAGCCTCGTGTGGCAAATGACTTGGCGCAAACCCCACTTATAGGGCACACGTAACCTCGAAACCGTCATCCCAGGACAGAGCAACACAAAGAAACAACCCGTAAAGAACGCAATTGGATCCCGGCCGGTCCCAGTCGACCCCGCTGCATATATGACCCATTCTACCCGAAGCCTATAAACAAAGTAAACAAAAATATGCCTAGGCTCTATATATATATATATATATATCTATCTATCTATATATATATATATATATGTACGATCCAGGCATATACCCACCTTAGTTTCCTGTGCCATGTATTTAAGGATCTGTGGGGTCTCTATAGATACCTAGGTAGATGCTTATCAATACAAGGTGCAATTAATGCAGTCCAGCCAGAGCAGACCGATGATGCGGATGGGGTTCCGGGTTCCGCACACATCTGCTGCAGAGGAACTGAGCTGTTCAAAACAACTTCTTTATAGTGCTGCTGCTTGATCGATCGGATCATTGGGCTGTTGATTCCTTACTCGCTGTGCATTCAAATCAACACTTGCGTGTGTTGCGTTTACATAAGGCTCCCAGTGCTGTCTGAGTCGCGAAGGATATAAAGGTATATCCTCGGTCGCTCTGGATATGTCCAAGCAATGGAGCTGTGCGACGTTGGGAGAAGGGTTTCAAGCGGTTCTGAATGATGCCTACTCAGACCATGATCTCTTGATGCAAGAGCACAAGCTGCTACAAGAGATAGCAGCGCCTAGGCCGCACAAATCACACTCGCTAGACAGTGGCTGTACCGTGGGGTCTGCACTTGAGTGGACTCCGTTCATGTACATAATTGAATGAAGGCTCTTGGGCCGGGTATCGAAGATCTTGCCAACTAGCTACAGCAAAGATGTATCGTATATGTGTATAGCAAATATAGATCGAAGCCAGGAACTTGCCATACCCGACATTTTGCCCAGGCTCTGGAAGCCATCGAGACTGCCGACGCAGCAGCGCCACCGCCGCAGTCGCCGCTGCCGCCCCACGAGACCACAGAACCTTGGATTAATAAAGCAGTCACAGGATGTTGCTATCAGGGTTTCACCGGCTTGGCATGGCTTGTCTTACGCTTGTTGTGCGTTCGGAAAATACGACAGGAGGGTGCCACTGGAAGTCACGTCGACGACGACGCCGCGACACTCCCCGCAAGTGTCCCTTATTCGCAACACAAGTCTGGTCGTTTCCTACACCGACAACTCCCTCTCTCTTTGTCTCTCTCTCTCTCTCTCTCTTATATGTATATTGCCCTAAGGAATCCCAGCTTCCTTCGTCTGCTACCCCGGGTGGATCTACCGAGTCCTTGCAGGACACCCTGGTGGAGGACACGGAAAGGTAAAAGTAAAAGCACAACTGCCAGGTTCCGCATACTATATAAGTCCCCTCTGAGCAGGACGAGCCCCAGCCGAAAGCCGGCGCCGTCGTCCCAACCGAGGATGATGAGGATCTTGAAAGGCCTTCTAAGAGACTGCGACGGCCGAAAACCCGCCGTGTACTTGGACTGCATGCAGTAAACGGAACAGAACTCCAAGTCGTGCAGTGCGTGTTGTCTGGTCGAGAGCACAGGAACTTCTGAGGGCTGCAGCGAAAGCCCGCCTCCACAGAATGACGCAGCCCAAGAAGAAGCGAACCGACCTCGCCGTACCAGCTTTTGTTGCTGAACGCTGGAACTCTGGCACCCATGCTAAAGAGGAGATGGCTGAGCTCTTACTCGAACTCAACGGCGATAAGGACAGGACAGCATCTCTCTCTCTCTCTCTCTCTTTCTCCTCTCTCTCTGTGTCTCTGACTTGACACAAGGCATGACGTGCACATTTCGGAGCCACTCTCTCGATCTGTCTCGTCACCAAAGAAGCTGTTCGTTTTACAGACACAGACACACACACACTCTCTCTCTCTCTCTCTCTCTGTCTCTCTCCCTGCCTTATCACATGCAATCTAAGGTGACCGCCCTCGGTCACCTTAAGTTGAACAAGGAGACAGAGACAGAGACAGAGACAGAGACAGAGACAGAGACAGAGACAGAGACAGAGGCAGAGACAGAGACAGAGACAGAGACAGAGACAGAGACAGAGACAGAGACAGAGACAGAGACAGAGACAGAGACAGAGACAGAGACAGAGACAGAGACAGAGACAGAG